GAACGCAGGTGTACCGCTGCCACGCATGGATTGGGACGCGTCGAATTTACCGGACGCATGGAGAAAGTTTCGCCAGCACGTGGAACTGATGTTCACCGGGCCGCTCCGAAATAAGCCGCAGGAGGAGAAGTGCAGTTACTTGCTCCTGTGGATAGGAGAAAAAGGCAGAGACATCTTCAGCACGTGGAATCTCACCTCGGACCAAGGAAAGGTACTGCAAACATATTATGATAATTTTGAGGCTTATGTCACACCAAAAGCGAACCCGATTTTTGCACGTTATAAATTCCACGAGAAAATCCAGGGAGAAAATGAAAGTTTCGACCAGTTCGTGACGGAGCTTAAATTGCTGGCAAAAGACTGTAATTATCCAAACACTGACGAGATGATAAGAGACAGGATCGTGTTTGCTACTAACTCACCAAGAGTCCGTGAAAAGCTGCTATGTCAAGGTCCAGACTTAACACTGGAAAAAGCAATTGATGTTGCTAGATCATTTGAGCTGTCACAGCAGCAATTAAAGACAATGACAAACCCCGCAGCTAGCATGTCGGCTCAATCTGTACACGTGGTCAACCGAAATCACAGCATGCCAACACACCTCCGCAGTAAAACAACAGGTYGCAGGGATGAAGGTGGCTCTTCTGGTGACAAAATATGCAGAGCATGTGGGAGAGAGCACAGCCGTATGGAGGAATGTCCCGCAAAAGGAYGCCAGTGCAATAAATGCAAAAAATTTAATCATTTTGCCAAAGTGTGCAGGACGCAAGCACCACAGCGTCCACAAAGATTTAAACCAAGAAAAGTGCATTCTGTTATGAATAGTAGTGACCAACCACAAGAAGAACTGTTCATTGACTCCATCACTAAATGGAATGAAAACACTAATAAAGAACAGGCATATGCAGAGGTGGAACTAGGAAAAAAGAAACATAGACTCAGCTTCAAAATAGACACAGGGGCACAGGCCAACATCATACCAGCAGACACATTACATCAGATGTTTGGAAATGTACGGTTAAATCCAACATCCAGTAAACTCACAGCATATGGTGGRCAAACACTGKAAACAAAGGGATCCTGCAGATTATCATGCAGCTACAAAGACACACCTGTTTTGCTGGATTTTGATATAGTCTGTGCTAATGCCCCTCCTGTCCTGGGCATGAGGGCATGTTTGGATTTAAATATAGTTAAACTAATACACACTGTTGATGTGCAGCCCAAAGAACATGCAGATATTTATGAAGAGTTTGCTGATGTGTTCCAAGGAATTGGACTATTTCCTGGAGAATGTCAGTTTCGCCTCAAACCATCAGCATCTCCTGTCGTGTGCCCACCTCGCCGCATACCCATCGCCCTCCGTGACCATCTAAAGGCCGAGCTGGATGAGATGGAAAAAAACTGACATCATCCAGAGAGTTACAGAGCCAACTGAGTGGGTGAACGCTCTTGTAGTCGTGGAGAAACCTAAAACAAACAAACTCAGAGTTTGCCTGGATCCGCGCCCATTGAATAAAGCCATCCAGAGACCACACTACCCMCTCCCAACTTTGGATGATGTAACACCAAAGCTGGCWGGAGCACAATATTTCAGTGTGTTGGACGCCAGGTCRGGATACTGGACAATTAAGCTCAGTGAGGAATCGTCTATGTTAACTACCTTCAACACAATATATGGCAGATACCGATTTAAGAGACTGCCGTTTGGGATCATCTCAGCTCAGGATGAGTTCCAGAGGAGGGTGGATGAAGCCTACGAAGGACTACCAGGTGTGGCTACCATCGTCGACGACATNCACAGGCGATGCTTTCCATTTATGCATAAATTACATAAATTTCCATAAATGGACTGCGTCGCCTCTGCCGGATATGTGACGTCATACGTAAAAGAACGCATTCCGTTGGTCGCTCTCCCATCCCTTATGGCGCGGGATGAGGGCCAAAATTAAGACTATTGCGCAACCAGCGGTAGCTACATCCTTGTAGCAGGAGGCTATTGATCTGATTAAAGATAGGCCGGCACCGCTAACTGAGAGGCTGGCTCCGGTAACTGAGAGGCCAGCGCTGCCAAATGAGAAGGAGACTATTCATTTGTGTTGGCATTGAAGAGGCTAGCGACTAGCGTGGCTAGGCTAGTAACCCACTGGACTGACTACTCCCTCCGCTGTCCATTAGCATGGATAGGCTGGCGTTAGCATTGGAAAGGAAACTTTCTCAACAAAAATGGTCGATGTACAAAACCTATAGGCGACATGCACTGATAGGTGTTCCTTAGAATTTACTGTTCGAGACAAAGCATAATATTAACATCCCGTGAAGCTGTTTTAGATACCACCTGAATTAGCAGCTTGTCTTCTGGTCGACAGCGATGTTTTAAATAGTCGAACTATGAGAAAAGCCCCAACTATCAAATTTGGTCTTTTTACGGTTTCTGGTAATAGATTAGGCTTCTCTATATTAAGTTATAATTAATGTCATGTTTTTTTCTTATCCCTCTTAGTGATCAATATTTTCAATTGCAATARACATGATCGTTTAAACATACCTTTTGCTGAAGATTATTTCTCTTCAACTTATAGTAGACAGGATAAATACAGTATGGCTTGATTTGTACTAAGGACATCAAAACAACATTTAACATTTTTCAGTGTGTCTGAAACTTCACAACCATCAGCAGCTGAAGTTTGTTGATGTTTTACCTAGATTTAAAGTGGAGAAAACGTTGTGTTAATTAAAATTCACCTATTTTATCCAAACACCTCAGATCAAAGAGTTATTAACCACCAAGTTTGAGTCAAAATGCATATAGACATTGTTTATGCTATACATATGACTGAAAAAATTTGAAGATATTCAGTAAAAATATATTTAATAGACAAATACATGAGCAGCAGTAACATCATAACAATAAAAAGTGCAAAGTGTGCATAAGATACTCAGCTGGAGCCAAACAATCACTTTCATTCAATACTTAGCAGCACAATTACATTTTGTGTACCGCAGGGTGATACAGCTGGATCTGTGCTAATTCACTTTTGTGTAGTATGACAGCTTAGGCAGAAAAGGAGTGCGACTGGACCTCAGACATAGCAAAATCTTCTCTAGTTTGGCCAAAAACAAAAAATCAGGTCAAAGCAAAGAAAACTTTAACAGGACCATCTAACATCCAACCAGTCTCAGTGCTTCCATGTACACATCTGCCCCAAAACATGAGCTGGCAGCTAAGGGGTCTATACGATCCATTAACATTCTGTTGACATCATTTTGTAGCAACACTGGGTGTTCTGGGACAATAATGTCAGCAGCTGGATCAGATGGTGGTAAAGGTCCCTCAAAGKCGACACCCCATTCACTGAGGCTGACCTGCGTGGACAAACAAATATATCAGAATGTGCACAACAAATGTGAACATGTCAAGGCAGGGTAAAATAAAAACAATAGAAATCTAATATTGATCATACTTGCTGAGTTGGTTCCACTTCACTTGTCAACTGCCCAGATATCCACAGCTGGTCAGGAGAACGGTTTCCAGCAGAGGAAATGCGGTGTCTGTCCCAAGTGCTCCTGAAGACATTTAGGTGAGCAYTGATTCTGGGCACCATTACATAGTGCAGGCACAGCAGGTGGATGTCGTTGTCAGGATCTAGTGAGCCTGTAGATTCCAGGTACTGAAACACTGAATGATAGTTGCATGCCACTGACTGCCACACATCACGCCAAAGCCTCTCAATGCGCTGATTGTGTACACTCCGACCTGTGATGAAACATCTGCTCTCTACAAAAGACAAACAAATAAAAAAAATGCATTTTAATACAAAGTTTGTCTACATATTCCAGTCCTCCCCCCACAGTATAACTGTACCACACTACATAATCTTGTGTATGTGAAAAAAAGTATAAAAAAGTATGTGACTGAAGTATATCCACTTTGTTTTAACTCAGTATAAACCTGTGGTTCCCAAAGATGGGGTCGGGACCCAAAGTGGGGTCCTGAAAAGATTTTCTAAATTAATTATATTTTTGCCTTAGTTGCCTAAAATGTATAAATGTAGAATAATAAATATTGTTAATGTGCCCATGTTTAGTTGACCTGATACAAATGTTTATCATCCGAAAATAGTTGTGGGCTCAGGTCTCTGACACTATTATTTTGTGGGTCAAAAGCTGAAAAGTTTGGGAACCACTGGTATAAACCTTAAGGCTCCTGCATATACCCTCTGAACTGCTGAAATGGGTTAGGATCGTCGCAGTTTCCTGACCGGGGGGGGGGGACTTGTTTTATAAAAACAATTTTACATGACTCGCTTTCAATTATTGTAATAAATTTATATTGTGAATATTTAATTGCCTAACTACATCCTAAAGTTAAGGACTACTCCTGATAATTATCAATAATTAATTTAGTTATTATTGATATTAATTGATTAGAACTCTGTGCAGCACCAGATGGATCTGAGTCCAGAGTTCTCAGTTTGTCACATCTAGAGTCACACAGAAGAGCTCCAGAAGGTTTCAGAGTGTGGATGGTTGATTGTCTCCGTGTCCCTGAGCCCCTGATGGAGACTGGAGACCTGTCCAGGTGTCTCTGGTGAACTGGAGACCTGTCCAGGTG